GCTGTGCACAATTCTTTGTGCAGAAGTGCTTTACATGTTAATCTATGTGGACACAAGCAAGCTAGTAGGATGGGAGGGGAGAGTTATTCTGAGGCCAGAGGCAAATAGGGATGTGGCAGGGGAGAGACAGGACAGAGTGAAGCATTCACTCACTCCTCCCTGCAGTCAAGCAGGGTCAAGCCTTGGGGTCAGTCATGGATTCCTGCCTTGTCACACTCCAAATTTTTGGAAAGGTTGGGGAATAGGATAAATCCCAGCTATGAGAATGGAGTCTCAACTAGAGAGTGTGGGCTAGTTGTGTTGTGCCCTCCACCTCTTTGGGCACATGAAGAGGAGAAGACTGAGAGTAAGTCAAGGAGGCAGAAAGCACGGGTAGCAGGTGGCCAGGGTGTCATCAAGCAATAATTGGGTTCTGTGTGGGGGTTGACAGCCAGGAAGGAGCAGAGGGCAGCTTGAGGTTGGGGTGGCCTTTAATTAAGGTTCCAACGTCTCAAGTCACTTCATGCTGGGGCTGGATGGCCACAGCTGAGATTGGTATAGGCCAACGTGGGTCCTTGGTGCATCCTGAAATGGTGAGATAAGAAAGTGGTGGGCCACGCAGGATGGTCCCGGAGTCCTCTCGGTGGCTGATGGTGAATGGGAATGTGGAGGAGGCGAAGAAAGTGCTGTGCTACGCAGCCAGTGTGAACAAGAAGACCATCCCTCTCACTCTGCTTGGTAAGGTAGGAGGCTTCAGGCCAGGACTGGGGCTGGCAATCTTCCAGAGGTTGACCCCAGCTCACTGCTGAGGACCATGGTGACAGCAAAACTGAACCCTGCTAGGGGTAGATGGAAAGCCAGCTGGGACAGTGGGGGCACAGACTTTGGCCCTGTGGGGTTGGGGAGCAAGCTGGTTCTCAGCCTTGCCTCTGGCTGGTCTCGTCTGTCCTATAGATGCACCTCCATAGAAAGAAGGTGACTAAGGCTTCTCTCCTGGACTTCTATAACAATAAGAGACTCTGCAACCTGATTGTGGTGTTGGCCATTGTGTGGTGAGTACCTAGAGCTGGCTAATAGGCACTGTAAGGAGATGAGCAGGCCAGAGACTCCTGTCAGGGAGGTGGGAATGGCCCGGCCGTGAGGAGAGGACCCGGTGACAGACAGAATGAGTTTCTGTGCCAACTTCTCTCCTCCACTCCTTCCTACCCTGACCCTTTCTCCTCTGTCTTTATCCCTGGCTCTGTCCTGTGTATGTCTGTCTGTGTATATGTTTCTCCTGGCTCTCCAGGTTTGCCATCAGTTACAGCTATTTTACCATGAGTCTCAAGATGAAAGATGTTGGCGTGAACATCTACTTCAGAGAGTTGATCCGTGCATTCCTGGAGGTGCCAGCCCGGCTGTGCTCAATGTTAATTATGGAGCAGATAAAGAGGAAGTGGAGCTTGGCTGTGACTCTCCTCCTAGCTTCTATCCTGTGCCTGCTCGTCATTCTCCTCCCTGAAGGTGCAGCTCCCCCTCCTATGGGTCTGCTCAGCCTACTCACTTCCTAGGTCCCTGGCCAGTACTTGTGACTAGGATTCGGCTCCTGCACCCATAGTCCACAACCCTGTTACTGTCTCTATCTGAAGCACTGCTCCTCCCTGGAGGGCAAACAAGGTCCCCACACTCTCAGAGAACTGAAGGAAGAGGCCGTTGTTCAGAGTGATCATCCTTATGTGGGAGAGTTGGCAGCTTTTCCCCAGCTGATTCCAACCCACTCCAGAAGCAGATCTAATGTTGAATGTAAACTGATGACAGCAAAAATATTCTTTTCACTGCTACACCAGGCCCTCCTCTCTTCCGTAACCCCATTTGCCAGGGAAATCCCTATTAACCTTAACTTCCAGGGATAACCTGGCCTCTAAAAATTGAGTAGAATCTTCTGTTCAGTTCTCAGGAGCTGCTCTTGCTAGGAGGCCTGTCCTTCCCTGGGCTCAGAGCCCTGCTCTTATAGGATCTCCACTAGAAAAGAAAGCAGTGAGGACAGGCAATATTTTCAAAATGTCAGGAAGCCCTAGACAATGAGCATCCCTAGCACACAGAGCTAGAGAGCCATGGGGAAGTGCTCGGGCACACCCACTTAGAATTCCTGAGTCCAGAACCTTGTGGAAGCCTGGCCAGGACAGTGGGGGCTGTGTCTAGGTCTGTAGTGAGGGGCTCCCTCCCTTTTTCTGGATACTATAACTGTGTGTGTCTCTATTGGACCCTGCCTCCCATAAATGTGGGCAATGTTGATTGGCAAACAGAAAATGGGAAACAAATTCATTATTATCTATTGCTTGGTTGGGGTTTTATTTGATTTTGTGGGGTGGCACTGAGTTTTTCTCTGTAGCCTGTGCTAGAGTGCAGCGGTGTCATCATAGATCTCTGTAACCTCAAACTCTCATACTCAAGTGATCCTCTTGCCTCAGCTATGCAAGTAGCTGGAACTATGTGAGCCCAGCTACTATGGTTGGTTAAGTTTTCCATTATTAGTAGTAATGGATGTTGCTTTTATTAAGGCTCGTCTAAACCTCCTGACCTCAAGGGATCCATCCTCCCACCTTGGTCTCCTAAAGTTCTAGGATTCAGGCTTGAGCCATCTCATTGGGGCCTTGGTGGTTTTCTTAAAAAGTGGCTCTATATGTACTGAATCAAGCAGAAATATGTAAAACACTTACATGTGTGAGAGAAACTAGGAACAAGATTCCCAGTGGATACAACCTAGATCTCTGATTTCATTCCAGAGTCAAGAAAGGCCAGGCCCAGAGTGGGTAGCAAGGCTGGGACAGAGTCTACAGAGGGTGATGGGTTGGGTAAATGTGGCCTCCCATGTCACCATACCTGTATTACTGCCTCAGAGTACTCAGAGTTGGGCATCCTGGGACAATTAGCGCCAAACCTGGCTGTTGAGCCCCAGGAACAAATGCCTCCTGCCCTGACCACCTCACAGAGCCCATGTGGAGCACCCTAAGTGGGATCCTGGCAGACAGGATGCAGGCCTGGCTCTGAGTGGAGGTTTGAGGAGGAGTAGGTGGTGGGTGAGGCCATGCTGGGTGAGGCAGTGGATCAGAGCCCTATAAGTAGAAGCCTGGGGCCTCCCCACCCTTACTGACCAACTCTCCCACTACAGATGTCCTAACTCCCAGCCTGGCTGGGCCCCTGCTCACTGACCCTCTGACTATGCCTGAGTCTGCTGCCCAGCTGACCAGGTGGTAGGGAGGACTGTTCAGATGCCTTCTGGGAGGGATCAAGAGAGGGCTGATGGTCAGGCCTCCCCCATTGCCTGGAGGGGAGAATGGCCTCAGATTCAGGTGACTGTGTTGTCTGGCCCTAGAGCTGATATCCATAAAGGTCCTGGCGATTATACTTGGACAATTCAGTCTGATTTCTGCTTGCATTGTGTTGTTCATCTACAATGCTGAGCTCCTTCCCACCGTCCTCAGGTACGGAGTATGCTGGGTGAGGGGGGTGGGGAGGGACAGATAATGACAAGGCGAACACACAGCAGCTGAGATTGAGCATTCACCTGGTGATGAGCACAGTGCTGAATGGTTTACATGGATGATCTCAATCAACAACAACAACAACAATCCAAAAAACTCCCACGAATGTTACTATTTTTTTTTTTTTTTTGAGACAGTTTCACTTTGTCGCCCTTTGTAGAGTGCCATGGCGTCATAGTCTACAGAAACCTCAAACTCTTGGGCATGAGTGATCCTCTTGCCTCAGCCTCCCAAGTAGCTGGGACTACAGGTGCCTACCACAATGCCCAGCTATTTTTAGAGATGGGGTCTCACTCTTACTCAGGCTGGACTTGAACTACGGAGCTCAGACAATCCACCTGCTTTGGCCTACCAGAGTGCTATGATTATAGGTGTGAGCCACTGTGCCAAGCCTACAAATGCTATTAACTATATTTTGAACAATGAGACCAGAGAGATAAAGGCATTTGACCAAGGTCATAGTAAGTCTCAGAGATGGGCTTAGGCCCCAAGGGTCTGACTCAGTCCCCACCCTGCATTCACTGCTTAGAAGGTGTTTGGGTCCCTCTGAGGCTCAGCCTTGTCCTATGGTTGGTAATGGGAACATCTTCCTGCCCACCCAGCATTACTGCTGGTGCCTTTTGCCCCCACATCTAACAGCACTGCATGGTCTTACCTGTCCCCTTCCTGACCCCCATGAGGGAGGCCCGATAGAAAGTGCTGTCTTCTTTGAATCAGTAAGGAACTAAATCCCCCAGAGTCACATAGTGAGATGGGACATAGTGGTGACTGGAGGGTGAGGGCTTTCAGGAGCTGCTTCTCTCACCCCAGCCACTCTTGGCTCAGAGGCCTCCAGAGGAGTTCTTGCCTTCACTTTCAGGACCACAGGTGTGGGGTTCACTGCTCTGTTCTTTGGGGCTGGATCCATCTCATCTCTGACAGTCATCAACCAGACCTCCTCCCATCTGCCCATCTTTCTCTGCTGCATCTCAGCTATCCTGGCTTTTGGCTTCTCCTATCTGCTGCCAGAAGTGCAAGATCAGCCCTTCTGCGACAGCCTGGATTACTTCCTATAAAGGAAGGGGTAGGTGTTCCAGGCCCCAGCTCTGCCAGCAAGTGGCCTGGTTCTGAAGCCCTTGGCCCTGACAGAAGTCAGGTATTGTCCATCTGTGCCCCTTTTCCAGAAAGGTCTGTGTACACACAAGTCTCCCAGCTCTTCTTGATGCTGCTGCCTGCCCAGACCCAGAGCAGCCCAGCTTCTGCCAGCTCCCATCTTACCTATTTCTTCTGACTTTGCTGGGTCAAGTTCTCCCATTTCCTTGACCCTTTCTGCTCCTCTGGATGGAGGCACTGCTTTGGTGTATACCTTCCTGGAGCCTTCAGAGATGCCCTGGGCTCCTTCCACTCCCAGGGCTCAGGTACTAGCTTGGTGCTGGCTCCCTGAGGACAGCTCTCCTGTCAGTGAACTCTCTGCTCCTCTTAAATGGCCCAGGCTTCATTAATGCCTCTGTCCTATTGGGCCTGGTAGTCCAGAACCCCATTTGGGAACTGGGCTCCACCTAATACCTCCTTGGGTACTGCTGGCCTATTATTCCCTAAGCATCCCCTCAACATGACTGATCTTGATTGGCAGAACCATCCCTGCTGGAGGTTGTGCCAATAAGCCCATCACTCCTTCCTGGACTTGGGGTAAGCACCAGAGTGGAGCAGAGGCTGCCTAAGGTCCTACAGTGTCCTCTGCTCTGAACTCTAGGAGTCGCTGCCTCTGACTTCCCTGCTGCCCACCATCCACCTCCTTCCCTCTCTCCTGCAAACCCTCACCAGGATAACATGTGCTGGGCATTGTGCCAGCCCTGAGCTGTCAACAAGAAGTCAGAGGTCCTCCCACCTTTGAGCAAGTCATAGTTCATGAGTAGACAGATGTACAAGCAGTTTTCACTAGTAGACTCTGAGAGCAGGAAGTGCAGGACCTTAGCTCTAACAAGAGAAGAACTTTAATTTAGGAGGGAGTCGGGACATTTGAGTAGGGCTTTAAAGGATGAATAGGAGTATGCCCCACTGTAGCAAGGGCAAGTAAAATGCTACAGAGTAAGACAGCAGAGTGCTTGAGGACACAGGCTCTTCAGCCAGAGGGCCTGGATTTCTATTCTGTGCTATTACTTCCTAGTGTGTGCACAAGGAAGTTACCTCATACCTCTGAGACTCAGGTTCTTCTTTTGCAAAATGGAATAACACAGTAATGAAATAGCCAACATGTATTCTTTATCAGGTGGTGAGTCCTATTCTATATATGCCTTAACTCTCTTGTCCTCAAAATAACCAAATGTGAGGTATGTCCT